TATACATAAACATACAAGTCTATACGTCCACCATACCTGGCACATCATAGGAATGAATGTCTCTATCTCGAGGATCTGCGCGGCTTCTTCCATGAGAATGTTGTCAAAGTTAAAACCAGCCTTTACCAGATCATCGCGCTTGAGTGCCGCGTGCGTACAAGTCATAGCAACAATCTGCAGAGAGGATATTCCAAAATAAATAAATAACAAAGGTAAGACAAATAAGACAAATGACGCATATGTATGAACTGCCTAGTTCCCTGGACACTTTAAGAAAGGTTTGTACCTGATATAACTTGATTGGTAGAGAAGAGTGTGGATCAAGGCGGGTAACGGATAACTCAGCCAGCAACGTAGACTGTCTGGTAAGGACTGTATGGTATCATGGGTGTGTGCACGTATCAATAGCTGGGTAGAGATACGCTCAACCCCACGCTACACACACACATGCAGATGCAGATGCAGATACGGATACGGATAGAGATAGAGAGATTACCCACCAACACCCAATACCAAAGATACGTTTAAAACAGACTCCTGCGCAAAACCAAGCACAGGCACGGGCGCTTATGCATTCAACTACAAACGGCACCACATAGAATGAGATACTTGCTTGCACACAGGTATTCCCTCAACAATAAAGATATATATATATATATATATATATGTTATATATGTTGTATATGTTGTATAGGTTATATGTTATATATGTGGTATAGGTTATATATGTTATATATGCACGTGAATATGGACATCGCTTTGCCTCGCTACAGACAACTACACATGAGAACTCTATGTACAGGAATACGATGTAATGCATCCGTTGACACACATCACCTGCAATACGTCTATTTACATGCTCAATCAATCTAATATATGCATATGCATATACAATCAGGTGTGTTAGCATACCTGATACATGCATATACATATACACTACCATGTGTAAATATGCCTAGTATATACATATACATATACAATCACATGTGTAAACATACCCAATATTTGCATGTACATATCCAATCCCATGTGTAAACACACCTAATATATGCACATACACATGTACAAACATACCTGATACATGCATATACATATACAATCACGTGTGTAAACTTAACTAATATTTGCATACACATATCCAATGCCACGTGTAAACACACCTGATATATGCACATACATATACCCTCATACAATCACATGTGTAAATACACCTTGTATATGTACAAATCACATATACATACACAATTACATGTGTACACATACCTTAGCCTCCTTGGCAAGTAAATAGTTCACTCGATCGTTGTTCGTGCGCATAATCTCGAAGGCCCGGCAACCCTCCAACTCCTCGAAGATCTTACACAGGTGACGGTAGCAGCCCTCGGCCACATCGATATCATCGGCATAATCCTGAGATATACATGTGTGTATATGAAAGTAGGTGTATGTGTATGCATGGAGGTAAAGGGATGAGTAAGTATGCATGTACATATTATATATATACATATATATAAATATACATATATACATACATACATATATACATACATGTATATATATATATACATATATATATATACATATACATATATATGTATATATATACATATATGTATT